AATAAGAGCTTTTGCTTCCAGTAGAGACCCATTTCATTGCTAGTGAAGATGAATGTCGCTTGGTCTTGTCCGACTGTTTGCGACCCCATGGACTATATAGTCTATGGAATTCTCCAGGCCAGAATACTGGCATGGGTAGCCTTTCCCTTCTCCAGGGGATCTTCCCAACCCAGGGACAGAACCCAGGTCTCCTGCATTGCAGGCGGATTCTTTACCAGCTGAGCCACAAGGGAAGCCCAGGTAACATTTATGGCTATTTAGCACATTACAGACAGCAGAATGATGTTTCTCTTTCTTACAGAGATACTAAATGTAAGTTATCTTTTTGATAAGTGGAGTATGTGCAGATGGGAGCAGGCAGATAAAGCATCTAGAAAGGATTGTAGCAGTGGGGGGTGGGTGTTGCTTTTTTTAAAGTACCCCCTGCCCTTTAATGCTAGCAGCTCCAGGTTCCCCTCAGAAGACGGAGCCATGGGTCCCTTCGTCATTGCAGTGGTCAGTGTTCTGGTCACTGTGGAGGAGAATTTCACAAACTGATGATAAAAGAAATAAAAACCCTCGTTCTGGCTCCAACCAGTGCTGCCCTGGGACCGATAGGCTAATCCTCGGGTCACCCAGACCCACTGTTTGTCTTGCTAGGTTCTCATGTGACATGAGACCACAGATGGCAGACACACGACATTAAACTAGTGATGAAGTTAAGGAAAGGTTCCCCCCATCGTCCCCCAAAAAGGAGATGTTTTGTCACTTAAGAAATAATCTTTGAAACTCAGGTGGAAAAAGGCCATCGTATTACAGATTAACACTACCTTTTTAAAATACAGGAATAGGATGCTTCTGAAAATAATTAGAATAGAATTTTTGCCTTACAATCTTACTTGAAAACCAATATTCTGTATACCCATTGGCTAGTCTTTATTGCAGGATGCATGTTGGTCATTAAACATTTTTTTATAAATATTTTTTAATAATTTTTTTAATAAATTTATAAAGGTTTATAAATTCAAGCAATGAGAACGGTATTTACTTCTCAAAAAAAACTGCCCCAAATAGTGATAGAGTAACCCAGACAGATCAGTCTCCTTTATAAAAGTTAGTTTATATTATATGTCAGTGTTCTATAGAAACTTAAAAAAAAATACACCTAAGAACAGTGGCTGGACTTCCCTGCCGGCTCAGTGGTAAAGAATCCACCCATCAATGCAGGAGACGTGGGTTTGATCCCTGGGTTGGGAAGGTCCCGCAAGAGAAGGAAATGGCAACCCACTTCAGTATTCTTGCTCCTCCCATGGAGAGAGGAGCCGATGGGCTACAGTCCATGGGGTCACAAAGAGTTGGACATAACTGAGCAGCTAAAGAACAACAAAAACAGTGGCTAGCTCTCTTACTGATCTGTTATTACAGTTAGTAGGTGATCTACTCAGCCTGGGCTAACCTGGTCATTACCTCAGGTTAATGAGAACTTGCAACTCCCGAGTGTTCTCTGCAGACAGAGGCCTGGGCCCCAGGGCTGATCCCTGGCTTCTCCCCCCCGCTCAGTGTTTCTCAAGGTCTCGTCTGTGGACAGTCTGTTCCAGGACCTCATGTAAGAATGTGGCTTCAGGGGCCACCCACAGATGCAACTCACCTGAACCTCCTGGCCAGACCTGGTGGATATGTTTCGATGTGTTTATTGATGCTAACAGTTCATTACAGAACTCTTCTTTCCGTAGAAGCAGCATCTGCTTATCTCCTTACCCCAAGACGTTTATCTCTGAGATGAGTAAGTCGCATCTTTGGTCCCCAAAGTTCCAGGTGCTGGGCTGATGCAGTCACTGGGTGCTCGTTTTGAGATACTGGACAGGCTCCTGTGGTGCTTCCAGCCGCCAGACCTCACATGAGTCAGACGGAAGCTTCTTAACCACACACGTCAGTGAGGGTTTTAAGTATTGGTAGAATTCAATAGATTTCATCTACTGTGTGGGGGAGATTTACCAAGAGACCTTCCTCTGTTTTGTGTTGTTGTTCAGTGGCTCAGCCATTCTGACTTTGTGACCCCACGCCAGACTTCTCTGACCTTCACCATCTTCTGGCGCTTGCTCAAACTCATGTCCATTGAGTCAGTGAGGCCATCCAACCGTCTCATCCTCTGTCGTCCCCTTCTCCTGCCTTCAGTCTTCCCCAGCATGAGGGATTTTCCCAATGAGTCAGCTCTTCGTATCAGGTGGCCAAAGTGTGGGAGCTTCAGCAACAGTCCTTCCAATGAATATGCAGGGTCGATTTCCTGTAGTATTGACTGGTTTGATCTCCTTGCTGTCCAGGGGACTCTCAAGAGTCTTCTCCAGCGCCATAATTCAAAAGCATCAGTTATTCGGCACTCAGCCTTCTTTCTGGTCCAACTCTTACATCCATATGTAGCTACTGGAAAGACCAGAGCTTTGATTATACAGACTTTGTTGGCAAAGTGATGTCTCTGCTTTTTAATATGCTGTGTAGGTTTGTCATAGCGTTTTTTTCCAAGGAGCAAACATCTATTTTGTGTTATAAGAAGATAGAGTAGGAGTATCGCTGTCCAGAAGAAGTTTAGCATTTAGTTGAAATTTAGCCTATAATCCACAGGAATGTAAGCTCATGGGAGCAGGGCTGGGTCCTCTCTGGGCTGTACCCAGACCATCTCCTGAGTAGTGTCTAGCTCATGGGCATTCATATCTGTTGGGTAAATTAGTGAGTGTCTTAATTTGCTAAACTTTGGGTAACTTGCCGGCAGTTTTTTTCACCAGTCTCTCATCTTTGGAAAACACGCAGTCTAGATTTCACAGACTCTCTGGATAGTTGGCACTGTCTTCATTTGTGACTCTAGGATTGGAGGCAGATTTACTGTCTCAGAGCCAAGTACAGTAAGAAGTGAGTGGGGCTCGGAATCCGGGAGGGCTGGGTGACAGTCGGCTCTGAGCAGCCACGTGGCGTCCTGGGTGCTGGTTCGCTCAGGCGTATTGGTGCCTCCCTGAGATAATTCCACAGGCACAGATTCGCAGTGGACATTCAGAGAAAAGAGGCTTTCCTTTCCCTCCAGGGTCAGTTAACTTGGTAACAAAGTTCAGGGGGAAAGCTCGTGATCACTGATAATGTAAAAAGACAGTAATGGTTTGGTCCCTCTGATAGACAGTATCCAAGAGATGGGAGTGAACTATGACCTGCCATCTGGCATCACGTCTAAACTGAAACTGTTTTCTGCCAGTTTAGCCATTTAAAATTTAATTTTAATAGGCTTATACAGAGTAATGATAGAACTGTTTGTGTGATAAAGGTATAGCCAAGGCAGTTTTCTGTGCGGTGGGAGAGGCACTGGGGACATGCCTGGCTTATCCCCAAAGCTCCCCTGAGAGCAGTGTTTGCATTCTTCATGAGGGGTCCTCGGGGAGTCTCCGCTCTGGTCCCTTCGCAGCGTGGATAATTCTGGAGAGGATCCACAAGTGTTCTTTCTCAGTGCCCTCACGTTGTGTGCGCGTGCGCACGTGTACACAGGGCGCCCTACTGCTGTCAGCCTTTTTGGGGTCATCCATTTCCCTCAGGTAAGGGCTGGGGGACAGAAGTTGGGGCAAGAGATTAAGGAGACATGGCAAAAACTTAGAAAAGTTTACTTTTAAGTGATCTTACAGAGCCAAGAATCCACACCACTTTTATTTATAATGATAAATAGAACTCCAGATATGGCATACAAGAAAAAAAATTTTTTTAACGAAAACACAGAACAGGAAGCTGTGTTCATGTTATGGCAGAATCTGATTATCATAGGTGTTTAAATATTTCCCTGTGGTTAAAGTGGAACATGTGTGTTTTAATTGCCAGTGCAGCACGCTCTTTTTAACAGGAAGTTAGCATAAGCCGCATGCGAAGAGCAGTTGAAATCCAAGAATCTCCTCTCTTCCTGTTACCTGTCTCACCCAAATGTACTCCTCTGAGTGTGGCGAATGCTTTTCCTCGTGATCCTTGGGGGATATCATCTCCCTGATGCTCGTGGGGATCTCTAAACAAATCACATTTCTTTGTGCTCCATATTTTGGCTTTGCAATGGGTTCATTAGCCAGCAGCTGAACGTACTGGGTGTGTTCGGGAATGACAGCTTAATGAAAGGGCAGACCTCCCTCCTCTTTCTGCTTTCAGACGGGCTTCTGCTCTTAGCCCCAGAGCATTTCCTCTCTCCGTGTGGTGTTTGCACACTCGAGGCCATCTTTGTTAACTGCATTAATATCAAGACAAAACATGCAATTACGCTTTCATTTGGCCCCGCAGTGGTGCTGGTGTGGACTGGCTGTGTTTCGCCTCCTTTCATGGAAACCAACTCATTCATTTCTCAGGTTTTTTCTGACTTCACTTTGAGTAGGACAGCCATTTCATCTCATATTCCTCTGTGTCGTTTTGACATTTTCCTAGGAATTTCACCTTACCTTATGATCAAAATATAGTTATTGTCTGGACAGGCTAACTTACGTTCTTGTATGTTTCAAGGGTAAGTGGCTTCTTAGGTGGTAAAGAATCCATCTGCCAATGCAGAGACACAGGTCCAGTCTCTGGGTCAGGAAGATCCCCCTGGGGAAGCACATGGCAGCCCACTCCAGTGTTCTTGCCTGAGAAATCCCATAGACAGAGGAGCCTGGTGGGCTACAGTCCATGGGGTCTCACAGAGTCAGACACGGCTCAGTGACTAAACAGCAGCTGCTGTGTGTGTTGCTTGTACCGTTCCTGCCTGTCTTTGCCTTCACGAAATAGAGGTGTGTAATTCATCAGCTGCGGTATATTTAAATTTGGCACTTCTGAATCTCCAGCATCCCTTATTCATGAACCAGAGTTTACATAGCAGAGCCTGCCTGCCACTGTAATCTTGAATGGGTGATTGTAGCTCTTGATGTCTGGGAACACCCTATGTGTGAGATGGGCTGACTTCTGGAAACTGACCTTCGGGACTTACTGAGTGATCCATGGAAAACAATGTGATTTTTGTTCTGTCTGTTTTCATGCAGCTTCCATGAGGCAGTCTCAGGCTGTACCTGCAGATACACGCCCAGAGATATGGATTGCCCAAGAACTACGGCGTATCGGAGACGAGTTTAATGCATATTACCCAAGAAGGGTAAATGATGTTTTCTTTACCTCCTTTTTTGATTCTGTGCTTAGTCTGGAAATGAGCAGTATTACCTAGGTGTGACCTACTTTTCTTTCTCCTTTCCCGTTTTCCGTTTCTTTTATGGCTGAACTTAAGTGGTAGCAGTTAGACAGAATAGAGTGTGAGCCTGGGGGGGTTGTAGGAGCACAAACCTTAAATCCTCCATGCTTGAAGAAAAGGGAATATTTATATATTTGAAATACTTCCACAAAATTATTAATGTAGTCTTCAAGCCAGAGGGGGTGTTATCTTTCCTCCCTTGAAGCAGTTTGGGTCAGAGGTAAAGAAATCTTTAAATTTCCATCTTTACGCAGCCAAAGGGAATGATGCCAGCTCTAAAGTAAGAGTCTTGGACCTTCCTGATGGTTCCGTGGTTGAGTCTCTGTGCTTGCAATCCATGGGGTGCGGGATCGATCCCTGGTCAGGGAACTGAGATCCCACATGCTGTGGGGTGCAGTCAAGAAGATTAGGGGGGGAAAAAAGGTCAAGGTAAAAGTCTCCCCTGCGATTTGCCAGGCAGTGAGTCAGGGCAGGAGCGCCTTTCTGTCCTTCCAGTCCCCACCGCTCTTCTCAGTGTCCGTTTATTGAAATGTGTTAAGAGGCCAATATGTTAGCCAATAATTCGGGGTATAAAATTTTTTATACCTCAAATTGATAGCACTGGAATTTTTTGAGGTGTGCTGTTGGTTTAAAAGAAAAAAAAAATCAGCCTTAGATCTTGGGCTGCAGACACTGTGTATTTTATTTGTTTTGCTCAGTGGCAGTGTATGTTAGCATTTTGGACACCTTATTCCCATGGAAGACGTGCTAAACTGTGTAGGCTTTAACTCAGGGAGGTAGGCTCCTAGGAGCACGTGTGACTGCTTCTTGTAGGGGTTCACCAGCACACACATGAGAGGATGCAGTTTCGGCCTGTTCACCTTTTTTCTGGGCTTTCTGGTGGCTCAGGGGTAATGAACCTGCCTGCCCATGCAGGAGACCCGGGTTTGATCCCTGGTTCCAGAAGATCCCCTGGAGTAGGAAGTGGCAACCCACTCTGGTATTCTTGCCTGAAAATTCCGACAGACAGAGTAGCCTGGTGGGCTACAGTTCATGGGGTCACAAAGAGTAGGACACGATTTAGTGACTAAACAATGACAGCACAGCCTTTTTTCTGTGTCCCGTGTATGAAGATATTTGTGTTGATTTATCCAAAAGGAAGCAGTTAATTATTTTCTACAAAATAAAATTTAATATTGTTCTTTCTGTGTTACTTCTCATCTGACTCCTTTTTCTCCAGACATTATGCTTTCATATAAACCGCTTTTAAAGATTCTTTTTTTGTTTCTTCTGGAGGGAACTTATGCTTTGGACACCCCAATGTTTTGTCTTTTTTTAAATGCTAGTCTTTTTTGTAGCTAGCTGTTGCTAAGTAAGTAAATTGATGGTCCCTGTAAAATTGCTTTCAATCTTATTTTCCTGTTATGTGTGATGCTTTCTAAGCTTTTGTAAACATACATGGAGATGTTTTCCAATTACAAGTCTTTTATTTCTCCGGTATAGAATCTCCATCAAGGAGTTCAGGACTTTCAGAATACTCTTACTGGCTCCTCCTCACACCTTCTGTTGGGTGTGTATGTGTGTGTTTGATGGGAAACGTATGAACCTGTCATTAGATGGAACATGTCACATTGATGAATGGGCTTCAGAATTCCTTATGATGCTGCGTCTAGCTGGCAGAATGTCCCGCAACCTGATGGGAACCTGTTCACAGAACATAAACCCCCTCTCAGCCTCGACCTGCAGTGGCACTCCTCTTTGCAAGGTGGGCTGTTGTGTAATTGGCCACAGAATTTAGTGTTCGCAAGTCCTCTGCCCTGGTTTCTCTGGTGGGATTTTGGGGTTACTGTATGTGTGGGTGTGGACTTGGCTTTCCCGCTGGACTTGGAGAGTGATCAGAAGCAGGGCCCCGGGATATCTGGGATGTCGGTCCTTGTGCTGCGGGGGGAAGGACATGTGTCCTCCCGGGGGTAGGCGCATGCATCCACCATGACTCGGGCGCATGCCACAGACCCAGCAGGAGGAGGTGACTTCACATGGCCGTGGCAGCCGAACAGGGCGAGCAAGGCCGTGGCTGAGCGGCACGCTGGCCCTGCCTCTCCCATCTTCCAGGGGCAGTGGATGGCCCTGGGGCTCCAGGTCTAGCTTGGGTGGGGCTCCCCGGGAGAGGTGAGGCTGTTGGGCCCTGGTGCCTTCAGAGTCCGGGAAGCTCAGGACACAGAGAGCAGTTGTCAGCTCCATCCTCTTGGGAGCTGGCTGAGAGCCTTTGGCCAGAGAGCCAGATGGGTTTCAGGAGGGTTTGCCGAAGTTTCTCTTTAAACGTATATGGAGTCGGTTGCCGTTCCCTTCTCCAGGGGATCTTCCCAACCTAGGGATTGAACTAGGTCTCCTGCGCTGCAGGTGGATTCTTCACCATCTGAGCCACCAGGGAAGCCCTTGTGAAATATCAGTGACTCTACAAAGGTTTCCCTGATGGGTCTGGTTGGTGCATCTCCGCGGTGGCCCTGAGTGGCCGGTGGTGAGAAGGGCTAACCTGGTGGGGTTGGAGGGGTTGGAGCACAGCCATCCCCAAATGTACACGGTCGAGGTGGTGTCCAGTCCTGATCCTATGCAAAGGAGACGCAGGCTGTCTGCTTGTGTCATTACCTGCCTCTCCACTGAAGAAGGGATAATAGCCTCAAACACTTCATGCCTTCCCGCTCCATCTCCCCCACCCAGTGTTACTGCATGGTTTAATGTAGAAGGTGTTCATGTTTTGTTTTTTTCCAAATGAGATGTAACCTATTTATTCTCAGTGTTTTGGGTAAAATAAGAAGTTAGTTTCATTGTGATATGCTGCAGTATTTTGTAATTGTAAACCTTGGCATCTCTTTTTAAAAAAAAGAACCAATGCAAAAATACAGTCGCTAATCCTTTAAAAGACTCTAGATTTCTGTGAAGGCTAGAATATTGGGTTAAGAGAAGGGGACAGACTGTAACTTAAAACGTGATTTTTCTAAAATGAAACATATTCTCCAGATCTTACATATAGCCTTTTCAGAGTGGCAGACTGAAACTCAGAGTGGTGACCCAGTGACCGCAGGGCTGCGGACGGCTGTCTTGAAACTTGTCAGATTCCGAGCGGTCCATGGTCTGCAGTCACACTGATGGGCCATTGTTGAACATGGTGGGGGTGAGGGGCGGCTGGGGGTGGACATCTGAGTGGGAAATGGGAGGCGTTTTGCTTTCACGTTGGGCACTGTCTGTCCCCGGGAGGTGTCACTTCTTGGCGGGCAGAGTCCGTTGCTGCTTCGCTGCTTTATGGTGGGTCATGCCTTTTAAATATTTGGTGTCCTTAGCTACTTAATATGGCTCCAGTACCTTTTGTGAGGTGTTGGTCTTTTGTTGCCACAAGCCCTGCAAGGCCTGACGGGCTGTTCTCCCACTTTTGCAGTTAGAGGGATAGCGGAAACTGTCGTGTAGTTGTCACGTGGTCAGTGCCCTTGAGGGCGGTGGGGAGGCCTGTGTGCCGAAGCTGTGGCATCTGAATCCTTGACGCGGGAGGTAAGAGAGGCCCAGGTGAGCTCAGAGCCCAGGTACACGTCCCTTTCTCCCCAAACCACCCTGCCAGGGCCTGCCTACCTGAGGGGAGTTTTATTGCTCCATGCATACTGTGTTTTCATAACTTTTGGTTTTGAAATAATTGCAGTGTTTTACACCAAAGTTGCAAAATGGTACAGAGACCCTTCTTGTATCTGCCAGCCAAGTCCCTGCTGTTAACTCTGCCACATGTGTTTTAACATCCTCCTCCCTTATACCTGGGGCTTCCCTGGTGGCCCAGATGGTAAAGAATCTGCCTGCAATGCAGGAGGATGCGGGTTCAGTCTCTTGGTTGGAAAGATCCCCTGGAGGAGGGCGTGGCAACCCACTCCAGTATTCTTGCCCGAAGAATCCCATGGACAGGGGAGCCTGGCGGGCTGCAGTCCAAAGGATCACACAGAGTCGGACACGACTGAGCGGCTTTCAGTTTCACTTTGCTCACACCTACCTGTGTGCAGGCTATTTTCTGAACTATTGGAGAAGTTGCAGGCACGATACTCCTTTATTCTTAAATTCATCAGCGTGTCCTTCCTATGAATAAGCGTATTCTCTTACGTAACCAGTAACCACAGTGTAGCGGGCATGGTTGGGAAATGAACAGCATGACAGAGCTGTGTCACCTGTGGGCTGCATGCAGGCCTTGCCTGTGGTCCTAGCAGTGTGGCGTCGTGTCCTCCTGCATGCATTGTATCAAGAGGCACGGGTGTCCATCCGTCTCATTCCAGAGCCCCTGGTCAGAGGTGGTATCCTCCACTACAAATCAGTACTTCCCATTCATGATGGAAGAAAAGTGTGGGTATTTCACAGGTGTATTTCCCCTGTGTTTACTTCATTTATCAAAATAAGTTCATGAGTCCCTGATCAGTTCAACAGGTTATTACACATCTCTCTCAGGCTTCCCAGGTGGCTAAGCGGGTAAAGAATCTGCCTGCCAGTGCAGGAGATGCAGGAGACTCGGGTTCCATCCCTGGGTGGAAGATCACCTGGAGAAGCGCAAGGCAACCCGCTCCAGTATTCTTGCCTGGAGAATGCTCATAGAGGAGCCTGGTGGGCTAGAGTCCATGGGGTCGCAAAGAGTTGGACATGGCTAAAGTGACTGAGCATGCTCACTTTAATTTGATGCTCATATTGGCTAGTGGCAGCCTCCGGCATGTCTCCATACCATAATTAGGCACTACAGTGCCTCGGCACCCCAGTCACATGCACGCTTGTGGGACAGAACCTAAGGGGCTGAAGAGGTGATCGAGCTCTGGGATTCCTTTGGGATTTGCTGGTGGATGACCTGCAGCCACACCGTGTCCTGGCTCCACGGCTCCCCGTGTCCTCCTCTCTGGGACCCCTGGGGGGGG